CAGATACATCCCTTAATTTCTCTGAATGCTGACACTGTGTGCTCTCCCTCTCCTTCCCAAATCCCTGGCTCCAGTGGCTTTGACTCTACATGCTGGAAAGAGCTAATTCAAGGACTCAGAGAGCCAGGGTTGATTCAGTGAAAGTGCTTGTGTGGGGAGAAGATTGTAACCTACATCTGTATACACCTGAAAACACACTATCATGTTCATGAACTCATCCAGCAGTTGGCTCCTTTAGGTGGCCAGTTTGGAGGGGTTTACACTTACATAAGACAGATTCTGAAAAACACTAGGGCAGAAATTGAAACTGGACATAATTAGTATCATTTGTTTCTATCTCTTCTTACTACACCCATAATGCTCAGTTTTGAGTCACATAAGTCACCCTACATTGACAATACAGTATAAAACAAGCTGGAAATTATGTACCAGTTGGTTTATGCAGTTCCTGACATTACTAAACATTGCACCAAACTCTAGGTATGTTTTGCAGTTTCCTCAGCACTCTGCACGTCCTCTTGAACACACACTTGAAAACCCATCACTATCCACATGTGCCTCACCTACAAATGGTTGTGTAAGTAACAGAAGATGTGAATGAAGCCCACTCAACCTGCTCATTTTCAAACGTGGGACACAATAAGTGACCCAAAATTAACTATAAACTAGCATAAACCATTCAAGCAAAAAACAAAATATTGTGGGATTCATGATTTTAATGTAAATGGCTGTTTCTAGAACCTCAGTTTGATGCTGTTTTGTTTCTGGTGTTAATAACTTTAATAAAAGTGAGAGGATACCAAAGCTCTATGGAATGGAATTACAGAGAGTGACATTTGAGAGGTATATGCACATGCCTTAAAATCTATGTCCCTATAGTTTCACCCAGTTCTCACCTACAGTGTACTTGTTGGAAGAGTTGTACAATGAAGTCAGCTAGGTCGGATAGGTTCTCAGACAACAAGCTCCAAAAGCAGAAAGAAGTTGCAGGTTTTGCAGAGCGAAATAACAGAGATTGCTGCAGAAAGCAAACCCTCCCTGTATGATAGTAAATTCCTCTCTGCCGTCCCATGGTGTTCACTTGCACAGTTTAATCTAAATATTACACAGGAACAACAGTGGAAAAGTATCAAAAAAGGGTCATGTGAACAGACCATTCATGCAGATATAGAATATTTTAAAATCACGTTTTACGATAATTCACAATGAATCTAGAAGTTATTGTATTCATTCTAGAGTAAAAAATGTTAGATATAAAAGTAAAATGATGGGATGGTAAAACCGTGCTGAGCAAGCTGTGTGTTGCTATTTTAAACAGAAAACATGTTCTACGCAACATAGGCATTTCGCTTGTGCTCTTCTTTGTAGCATCTGTTACAGGCGTGCAACCACACTGAAGCGCAGAGCCAGAATTTGACTAGTGGGTCAGAGATGAATTAGGCGTCCCATGTCTAGATTCAGGAACAGCAGTCTTTCCCCTTTTTCCTGTTACCGCAGTCGTCCTTTACACAAAGCAGGAGATCAAAATAATTGTGCAGTATATCACAGGACATTGTTTCAATAAGAAAAGCACATTTAAAAGAACAATGTCACGGTGTCTCTGAATGTTTGATTTAAACCAGCGTAGCCCTTATTTTTGGCTTGCTCAATAAGCAGTGACCTTACCTAGTTTTTCTATACAAGACATTTTATGGTAATATGTTGCTAGCATATTTGGATAAACAAACACAACACTTCTTATACACTTCAGGGTAAGGCAGCGGAAATCTGCAGGCTCCTCCTGCCATGCCCCTCACAACTCTACCCAGCCCCCACCATTTCATGCCCCTATGTGGCAGTACCAGGAATCATACCAGGGAACTAAACACAGTTCTCTGAAAGGATGTACATAAATCTAGCTTAGTGGAGAGCAAGAAACTGTTGCAATTTGCTGCATTGATCTATAAATCCTCATTAACTACTACAGTGCACTGCTTAATTGGAAAACTCTACTTAATCAAGATGCCTCCTATGGAACCAATTTATACCTAATGATACTCGATAGAAAGGATAGCTGCTAACTGGGATGTAATTTCATTTAACTGGGACACCTTCAGGTGACTTAGTGGTGCTTAGGTCTGTCTGCAGGTCTCAATCTCATTTTTGTTGGCTCTTCTGTTTGTTGGCTCTTCTACCACGAACCTACAGTTGCCTCCTGGTTTGCTCATTGTGCACTACCTACATTCAGAGGTGCCACCTCTCCGAGCTGCCCAACACAAACTCGGGACAAATAGCAGGCTCCTTCCCTGCCTTATCCAAAGTTCATGGCACTATTCACTAATGGGAGAGAATCATTGTAGCTCCTCAGGCAGCAGTGTTGCCAACTCTCACAGTATTTGGTGTTTTTCTTAAAGCCCCAGCTCCTAGAGCCATGTGATTATATGAGAATCTGAGCTTTCAACTAAAAAAAGTCTAGCCCTCACAGTGGCTGAGAAAAGCTCACAAAAAGTGAATCCCCAAGACAATTTTTTTTTTAAATCACATTATATTGTCAGTCATGATTTTTGAAGGCTTGGAGTTGGCATTTCTTCTAGTGTTTATTACTTAAAAAGCATTTTCTGTTAACTGGTGGACATCTGCTGTCAGTGAGATAAAAGGGCACCTGCTATGTAAGCCAATTCTACTTTGACAACAAATAACTAATATTCTTCTTTCAGTAGATAACACATGGTTATTCTTTTAACAGATATTCTTTTGAGGAGGATCTGCTGGTTTATTAAACAGAATTGTGTAAAAAGAATACTCTGTTCTATTGTTTTCCTGCATGACTTTTCCATTGCATTTTACTTTTAGGTACAGCAAAAATTTTACTGAATCTTTCCTCTACTCATTTAGGGCGAGACTGTGTTATTAAAGCACAGCCTTGAATAGGAAAAGCCATGGAACTGCAGTGTGGCAACCCACCCCTTTGGAGATTACAGTATGTGCCCTTATCCAAAGCTAGCAATGCAATACTGGCTAGTGGAGCCATATTGTGCCGGATTTCAACCATTTTTGGAATGGCTTACACCACAGTGGGGTCTAGTAGAGAACAGTCCCTGCACGCTGGAGAAAGCATGGACAATTGTTTTATGTCTTGCTGAACAAGTTTGTCCTGGGTTATACTTTCATTTAAACCATGTTCAGTTGCACCCATTGTCAGTGATGCATAATTTTTGTAGAGTAGACAGGCTCAAGTAAGGAAGAGAAGGCTCATATGTGCTCTACCCAGACCCACATCGGAACAAGAGGCAGTCACAACCTGACTTTTAAAAACCCCAGACTATTTTTGATTGGTTCCTACAGAACATTAGTGACCCAGGTTTATAATTTTTAACAAGTGTTAAAGATGGCTCCACTTTTAACAACATTCAACAAAACAATAAATGGACCCAACTGATGTTAACATCTCCTGTAAATACTATGGTGTCTTTATGCTTTTTGGTCAAGTATGTGTTCTCCTGCACTCAAACTTGATGGTGATTTTCATTTAAGAAAAAAAAACAAAAAACAAAAAACAAAAAAACCAAACAACAACCCTCAATTGAGATGAGTTTGACAACCCAGCTTTCAAATGGAGACGTTACACACTGTCTTCCTCACTGCAGTTGTTTTCAGTTAATATTTAATTACAAATTAATCTCTGAGTGCATTTCCACACATTGTGGCTCCCAACATAGTTAGCTCACAATCGCTAAATCTAAACATTAGAAAATAGACAGGCACATAACAGCACGTTTAATAAGAATGCACATGCTCAGATGCACTCTTGTTATTAAATATAAGACCTTGTCTTGTCCAATAATAGGGTACCACCAGGGGTCTTACTGTATTAGTTAAAAGTTGGGCAGTTCAGCTCTCACATCGCAAACCAGGTAACAGTCTTGCACCCTAATGAGGTACCCTCAATGGTTATGTATTACTTTTTTAGGTTTCTTCCTGCTGGAATTCTCATTATTTTTGCTTGTATGCAAGTTTAAGGAGAGCAAATGGCTCAGCTATAATAATGTTTCACCCAAAAGAACACTAATGATCTCCAGGGTCCCAAGTGTGAGATAGAGTCATGTTGTTAGGGGAAAAAAAAAAACAGTACTTGCAGAGCTACAGCATCAGCATTCTAATGGCCTGAAAAACTGTTGCATTTTGGGAGTTTAACACTGAAGAGTTACCACTTCTCTTCTAAGAAAAAATAGACAGGGTAGTTAAGTTTTTTTTATCCTTTGTTCCAGAAAGAAGAGGTACAAGGTCTTATCTGGTCAGGGATGAATCAGTCTGTGTTCCAGCAATACGATATATTTGCCCCCAAGAAACCTCCGTAAGCACTAGCAACAGCCCATTATAGTACATGTGATGAAAGTTATTTCATAGGACCCTGTAGCAATTTTTTGCTCTATACTCTCAGCCTGTATGTGCAGATTTTAAATAAAATGAGATTAATCTATGCCTCTGATCCTCAAAGGAGACTGATGAATCATGGTAATGTCACACAAATGAGTCACTTTAGATGACTCACATTCAGCATAATTATCTAGCAGGTCTTCAGCAAATATAAAATAGTGAGTCATCATATTGCAGAAATGAGGACTATGTTGCATGAATGGGGGAGGAAATTTAGAGAAATTAAGAGTATCAGTTCTGTAAGTAAACTAATACTAGTTCCCTAAACTAATTAATTTGCATATGCAATCTGAGACACAGGTTTCCTCTTAGCGCTGATCATGTTTTATTAAAATAAATACCCTGCAGTTTTGATATACAGGCAAGATTCCTCTTTAAATGTTTAAGTTTGATTTTATACATGTATGTAAGTTATTAATCTTGGGATTTTTCCCCTTTAAACCCGCTACATAACAAAATATCTTCCAACTCATACAAAATAGCAAGTTTTTCACTGTATGAAGTGGACTGTGTTATTGTTACAAAAGTTGTATACAAAAAACCTTCAAATATGTAAAAATTTCAAAGTACACTCTGACAGCAAATGCTCTGCGAACACTTTATTACACAAATTACATTCAGCCTCTGAAAATAGTATTTTAACAGTAATACTATCTAAAAATAAGACATCTCAGAAACACACCAACTAAGGAGGAAGAAAAAAGAATTAAATAGAGACTTTTTTTCTCTCTCTCAATGCAATATTATGTTAGTGATTTTAAAAAAATAGAAGAAGATTTAGCAGCTTTGTTTTCTTGTGGCACTGTATTTCCTCTGTACTGCAATAGTTTAAGGACATTGAACAGGAAAGGCACAAAAGAAAGAAACTGACAACTGAAATATTATGAGGAAAATATTGTGCTAAACCAGATAATGGGACTTATTTACAAATACAGAAAAGGTCCCAAAACAGAAATGAGAAAATACTACTACTTTAAATCAGTACTGCCATTAAAAGAGGATTGTTTTCTTTATTAAGATGTTTACATAAAGACAACGGCACTGATATGAAACTTCCACACACTCCTCCACTTAAAAAAACCCCCAAACCAAACTAAAACCAAACTAAAACCAAAAAATCCCAGTGTACAGCCCCACACAGACTAGTACAGTTTACAATTAAATACACAAAATCTTAAACGTGCTAAAGGGAAAAGGAATCTGATGTTCTTGGTAGAATCGTTCAATGTAGAAGAAATCAAAGGCTGGTTTCAGGATGAGGAAGATACTGGTGGGGGTGGGGGAGCTGAATACTCTTCTTCTGAGTCTGTACCATCGTCTTCATCTTTTTCTTGATCGCTCCCTTCAGTACTAAGTCGGTCGAACCCTTTCCGACTGTAGCTTTTGTGGCTTGCAAAGAAGTTCCCAAGGTTAAGGCCTCCACTACCTTTTCCTGTAGAAAGGAAATACTTGAGGTAAGCTTTCCATTACTGAATTTGAAAAAAAAATTCCTACCACTCCTCCATTACCCACTTTAATGACCCTTATCCTTTTCCCAAAAGCACTTTCCACCAAGCACATAGGTTGTGGCAAACAAAATTACCAAAAAAAAAAAAAAAAAAAAAAAAAAAAAATTTTTTTTTTTTTTTTTTT